TTTCAAAACTCTTAGTACAAAAATCCAAACTGATCACACTTGTAATGCAGCTAGTCATTCTTTCAAAACCTGATGTAATGCTTTCAGTCAGTTGCACATGTTTTCAGTCCACATAATCATTATTTCAAACACAAGATTATTGTAATATGTAATGAGAACATTTGGTTTAATCACTGAAACACAACAATATAATCTTCTTTCAGTTTAGTACTTTTAACAATCAGTTCATCCAACAGCAAACAATGCAACATGTTTCAAATCGGCCTTCCAAATCTATAGGTTTACCAAATGATTACAGTTTTTTACAATCACTTTGCTACTATTTTCAGAACCTTGATGTCATTTTTCACAACTCTAGACACAAAACTCAAAACGGTTATCACTTGTAACACAGGCTGTCTAATGTTCAAAACATTGCATTGTGCGTTCACATCTTTAAATAAATCTTGCATTTGCACAATCATTGGTTCAAAAAACAAATTTACTGTGAAATACCATTGAAACATAACTAGATCACACACACACAAGCAACCGATAGTTTCACTGTGTCATTGTTCGTACAATCATTAAATATTGTAGAAAAAAATAGATGATACAGGTTTTATTATACAGTAAATATACATCTCTGTAAAAGTCCTGCAGTAGTAGAGAGAATATAGATTAGAAAAAAGGGTTCTATATATGTAGCATAGGGTTTTTACTCAACTGCAAAGGACCTTTTATGCAAAAAAAAAAAAAAAAATATGATGATAATGACAAAAAACGAACCCTTTTGGCACAAAGGTTCTTTATAGGCTATTACTGTAATTGATTAACCATTAAGATCTGTTGGATTAAATAATAGACAAAAGTATTACATTAAACTGAACAAAAAGAGATGCAAATCAAAAGTTTGATAGTAAGAGCTTTATGAAAGGCAGTTACTGTGAATGAAACAATAATGTAGATGAAACACTTATTTTGTGTTGTGAAAAGAATACTTTGTGATTGTGTGAATTGTACTAACACAGTTTAAAACATGATGAAATGTTTGAAAAAAGTGCACTTTTGATGATCTGTTGTGATATTAGCACTTAGAGTTTTGAAAATGAACACCTTACTTGTGAAAATAGTACCAAAGTAAATAAAAAAACTGTATTAACTTTTTTTGGAAATAGGCTCATTTCACAACTCCCCCAGAGTTAAACAGTCGAGTTTTACCGTTTTCGAATCCATTCAGCCGATTTTCTGATATTTAGAAGAATAACAGTAACCAGACAGTTTTTGGTCTCATTGACTTCCATAGTATATGTTTTTTCCTACTATGGAAGTCAATGAGACCAGAAACTGACTGGTTACTGATATTCTTCTAAATATCAGAAAATCGGCTGAATGGATTCGAAAATGGTAAAACTCAACTGTTTAACTCTGGGGGAGTTGCAAAATGAGCCTATTTCCAAAAAAAAAGTGGAGTATCCCTTTAACTACATATTTACAGTATTTATTAATGTTAGTTAATAAACATTTTGAAAGTTCACAGTGCATAATTAGATCAACTAATGTTAACGGATGCAAAAAATATATTAGTAAATGTAAAAATTTACTAAGATTAATAAATGCTGTAGCTGTATTGTTCTTTGTTAGTTCATGTAAACATAATATTTAAGTAATGTTTGCAAATGAAACCTTATTGTAAAGTGTAATCCAAAATCCTAACAACCCCAAACTTCTGAATCACTTACATGTGCATGTGTGTGTGTGTGTGTGTGTCCAAATAGGCCTCCAATAGTAAATAACTAATAACTAGAATGGTTTGCCAGTCCACAAATTTCACTAACTTTCCCTGTAAACTGCTCAGAAACACAATGCGTGTGCATAATCAGTTTATGGTGCGTTTAGTACATGTGCAGCATACACGACCCCTGATCACACCAAGTATTTTAATCCAATCGGCTTCGTTTTCACATGACTGTCACGCACCCCTGCCACCATGGCAACAGAAAAGAGAGAAGGGAAGAAAGTGGAAAAGAGAGCAAGAGATAGAAGTGGAAAATGTTCCCTCCACGCCTCAGGCCTTATTACAACTATTAGTTCTGAATCTGACCTTATCTGAACCCCATCTTGTAAATGTGCGCTTGGCTGTTGTCCAGCCTAGACTGTATCAAACTAGAGCAACTTTTCAAGCAGTGTTGATGATCAACGGTAAGCAAACACTTCCCTTCTCACACTTCACACAGCGTCAGATAAAGGTCTTCTATGAAGGTGAGATAGAAAAAACAGATAGCCTACACCATTTTCTCAGGTCACAATGGCACAGAGCATTTTATTTCAAAGGGGGGATGTGTTAACCAGGTTTATAACTTTTTCAATATACTCTTAAAGCTCATCATTAGTGTGTCTGTCTAGATGGAAGTTATTAGGAGCCTTATAACACAATATTTTCTATGTAACAAAGTGTGCAGGAGGAAATTAAAGTGATGGTGACAGCAGGGTTGGAAACTACTACAACTACATGTGCCTGATACAAAGAGTTATTGTGAATAAAACACTGCTAAAGATACACAGGGGACTATTCTGAGAAGACTATTCTGCAAACCTCAAGGACAGCTGCTGCTAAAAAAGCACAAAGTAAAACGCATGGCACAAGTTAGTTATCTACCCATTCATTTCTGCAAAGAAATGTCCAGCATAGTTCAAGGCCTGGCAGTGTTTATCAGCAGGTCAGCCTCCGCAAACTCCCACTTCCCCCTCTGCAAAGAGAAACTAAGGGGTGAAGAGTTGAGTCTGTGCATTGTGGTTGGTGATGCACGATACGATGGCAGCTTCTCTTTTCGGCTATACCCACTTCCTGCACACACGGAGACATAACTGGGTAAGAATGTCAGCGTTTCGTTGTCTGCAAAAAAATAGTTAGCACCTTGCTTCGAGTCTCTCATCTCTCTCACTCTCTCGGTTTCCTTTTTGCTGAAAACTTAGCACATTAACGGAAAACAGGAAGGTTTTGTATGCTCACAGTTGGGCGCACTCTGGTGGTTGTGCATGGAAAGACGTAGCGGACATTGACAAACATTTAAACCTTTTCCTTCATATAAACACACACACACACACACACACACACACACACACATTTTCTGATGGGCCATTCCTGTGATTCGGTAATATTTCAGACCCCCGGACTTTTTAAAGTGGTGGTTCACCAAAATGAAACATTAAAAGCTTTCCACGATACTTTGGTATGTCCATTAGGCTATATTAATCATAAAATAATGTCTTATTTATTTTGTAAACTAAGCATTTTGTCAGGTCCCTGAGGTACTTCACTGAATTTGTACTTAGAAAATATTTAACAAAATGTACACATAAACATTTTTTGACAATGTTGTAAGGTTTTATTTGTGTTAGCCTACTTTGTCAAAAACATTTTTCTAAAAAAATTCAAGATATTTGATGGTCCCCAGTCAGAATTCAACCCCATCATGATGACTATTCTCTTGCCTAATTCAGGCATAATGACATAATTCAGGTCTTTTCTGTTGCATAAGATGGTCAGTAGTATCATACTTTTTAAAAATATTTTTGAGGCCTAGGTGGCAGCCGGCTGGTGGTATTGTCAAGCTCAACCCCATCACATAAAAATTAAGATGGAAAATTATTCAAATTTAATTTTAATCTATAAGTATATGTACTAATTACATTGCTGCCATACATGGTATACTCTCCTACACTATATGAGGAACAGTGGCCATTTTGTGCAGAAAATCTCAAGGGCACATTATGAGAAAGAAAAGAAAAAGAAAAATTTGAAGGCAATGCTGCCTTCAAACTGGTTCTTGAACACCATCACACTATTCTCAACCTTGTCACATTAATATTATTTTTGGAAAAAATAGGTCCGACTATTAAAAATGAAGCCGTTTCTTGCTGATTACCACCTGACATGTTAAGGAGGACTAACACCATATAATTGTGGTTTTAGTTAAACATCTAACTTTAAAATATCCTTTACAAAAATAAAGAGACCATGACACAATTTGTCTATTTTTAACTTCAATCTCAAAAAATGTGAAACAAATCATAAATATTACATTTGTTGTTATTAAATTGTTATGAGGGACACATGGGCAGTAGGTGAATGTTTGTTTTATAGCAAGTTTTTTGTAAAACCTTCTTTAAAACAAGTCCATTTTGTCTGTTATGGGGTTGAGAATAAAAGGTGTTCAAATCTGAAAAATACTGAAATTAATAAAAGGTTTTAAAAGCCGGAGGTGGGAAAATATTATTTTAATTTTTTTTTTTTTGAGTTTTAATATGTGCCTAATGATGTGGGTTATTAAGAAAATGATTCTATTTTCAGTTATTACAGTTAACTATGCGCAGTGATATGGAACTGTAATGCGGTCCTGCCTGAAACTACTTTAGCCGTGCGTTTACCTGAAAATAATTGTACACCCTTATAAAGTTCACAGCCAATCAGAATCAAGCATTCAACAGCTCTGTAGTATGGTACTAACCCTATATATATATATACACACACGTTTTTATCTTAAAATGCGTCTGAAGCAGCATTGAGGCACGCCAAAACTATAAAAATATTAATCTTGCAAATGTATACATGTAAACCACTTTAAAACTACTTTTTAAACTATAGTGCGGTCAAATAATACTGCATGTCCCTTTACCCCCTCCCCCCTTCAATGGTAATTATGACCAGACCACATGACATTTAACACATATGACACACAACTTTTTAAGGATGTCATGTTAGAAATTCCCATCCAAGTTCATGCCTTCCAATCGTAATTCTAGAGAACTAGTATGAACACGCATGTGAAATGAAACTAAATGAATGGCCTACTTTGGGAACGAAACCCCCCAAAGCCAGTGATACAATTTCTTTAGGTATGATTGGCAGTGACCTTGTATTGAGACTAATGTGTCTACTACTTGTATCTACTAGTCTAAAGATTAAAACACACTTACAAATGCCAGAGTGAACTGTAAAACAGAAAGAAAAGAAAAACTGAGTTTGAATCATTTTATTTATAGTGTTGGTTTAGTAAGCTGAACAAATGCTCTTCTGATGAGCATTTTAGCCACATCTGGTTGGTACATGGACGCCTGGTCGGATACTGTGTTTAATTCTTCAACGCACGTACAATACAGACTAGTGTAAACTCTGAAAGAAAAAGCTGTAGTAGTAACCCAAGTCAGATATCAACAACCATGCAATAGTCAGGACCTCAGATCCAGATATACTATATGTAGTTCTAAACCACGCTGGATTACATCTGACCCAAATCAAAAAAAGTGGCAAGCCACCCCTCTCCCCTGACACTAGTTTCAGTGATCTGGTCTGTATTAAGTAACTGGACATGACCGCAATCTCACTGCAGTGCAAGTGGTGTTTGTTGGGCAACTTTTGCACCAAGGAACCAATCGAAAGTTCCATGACTGTACATTTGAAACAAATTCAAACTAAGACTTAATAAACCGCTCCATTTCATAAGGCTTTCAGAGATATGAGTTGAATTCTTTTATAAGTGGTTTATAGATAGGGGACTAACTGGGCAAACAGTACAATACATTTTGTGCTGATAGTTGGGGTACCAAAGCTTTAATAATGCAGCTGCCTCTCAAACTCCTCTTTCCAACCCACAATGTGCTAAAACTTCAAAACTGAATTACCATAATGAATCATTAATTCATAGGTTTAGGATTCACTGCTGATCTATGGTACTGTTATACAGTATATAAGATACATTTTCATGAACGGAGGGATTTCACAAAGACAAACAAGAAAACACACTTTCATTCTCTCTCGCTCTTTCACTCACACACAAACACCAAGCAAGCGCGGACTAACTTCTGTATAGTTCATTAAACAGATACCAGTGAGGATCAGGCTAGGGATTCAATGGCCTGTTAGGAGGGAAAGAGCCGGATCCGACAGTCTGTGGCTTTTAAAACACAACACGAGCTTGTCGTCATTTGAGAGTCCGTCTGCGTTTCACATGTAACCCTCTCAAGAGCCCCTCTTCCCTCCGCATTTCCGTCACGCCTCACAGCCACCAGAAGCGTATGTATACGATCAGCATGATGAAGAAGACTCCACCCGCAGCTAGCTTAGCGTACGTGGAGCGAGTGTTCAGGTACTTAGCGTCGCTTCTGTATTTCTTCGACAGGCTGGACAAGTTGCTGGCCTTCGAGTCCAATGCTGAGGAAAAAACATGAAGATGTGAAGAGAAGCAATCTAAAAAAAATACAGTACAGAATTTTGCAGGTTTGCTCAGGGATCTTAAACCCTTTCAGGCGAATGACGTCTTTAATGAATAGAGAGACTACCATTCAAAAAATTTGGGGTCTTTTATGCTCACCATGTCTTGCATTTATTTGACTATTTATTTTTTATAACAATTTAAAATAATTTTTTTATTTTAAAATATAATTTATTCCTGTGAACTGTGACATGTTTTTTTTGTAGCATTTATTTTAAATAGAAATATTTTGTAACATTGTAAATGTCTTTAGTGTCGATCAATTTATTTAAAAAAAGAAAGAAGAAAGTATTAAAAAAAAGTATTAATTAAAAAAAAACTTGACCTGCACTGTAGTGTATAAAAAGAAAAGCTACAAATAACATTTGCATTTAAACCTATATATTCATGCATTTGCATTCTTTGTTCAATTAAAATAAATGTAAACATAATAAAGTCATCAAAATATTATTGAAAATAGGATCATATACTTGAAATAAGCATTTATTTATTTTTTAAATGAGGCAAGGACAATGAATAATTCTAACAATCCTTGTTTTGATGACAAAATTGATCATTGTGTTTAGACTTTTGTTTCTGGTATTTATAACCATCAATTAATCTTGTGAAACTGCATTATTTGGAGTTAATAAAATCATGTTTACACATGTTTAATATTTTGAGAAAATCTATCATTTAGTCACACACAGACATAAACATTTTGCATATGAGTCACAACAATGGTGATAATAAAAAAGGTCAATGCTGCAATGCATGATGGGTAGCTTTCATAGTACAAAACATCCTTGACTCAATTTTTTTTTGTTGTCACCATTGTTGAGAATCATACCCAAAATCTTTATATCTGTGTGTGACTATGTGATATATTTTTGTACACAAGCTATTTATTCACCTTCAAATAAGTGATCATTTTAATTCCAATGCCCCAAATAATGCAGTTCCACAAGATTGATGGTTACAAATTCCAGACATAGACTAAACACAATGTTAAATGCTCACATTGTGTTGATTTTATGATCATCAGTAAGGAGCTGGTGACACCTGATTTGACTTTTTCTCGGCTTTACAATAGTTACAACAGCCAAAGAAAAGCTAAAGTAAGAAGTACTGGGACCAAGAGCCCAATAAAGCAAACACTGATCACCAAGGGTGATTTAAAATGAAACAAATAACTTCTACACAATGCAAGGAAATTACATTGAAATAAACATGAGTTTTAATATAATGCATCCTGAGTGTTTATTTGGTCCAGAAACAGTATAACTTGTCTAAATGAGACCATAAATGATGCTGAAAACATGTCCACAATGGCCACATTTGAACTAGTTTTTAAACTTGTAGGAACACGTCACAAAAAGACGTCATGAAAACTTTCATTCTGGCCCCTCAGTGGAAGTCTTTTCAACGTCCGACTGTGTTGTGACAAAGACGTTGAAAAGACGTCTTTTGGACATCATTTTGCTTCGTGGGTGTATTCGACATGTCTCAAAAACAGATTTTAAAGATGGGAGACAGAGAAATAATTTCATTTTATATTTCCTGAAACTGGGGGGAGGAATCATCACAAGCATTATTTACCAGATAAGGCCTCTCCCCGCTGCAGAACTTCTTCTATGTTGGCCACCATGATTCTCTGCACATCCTGTAGCTCTGTGTTGATATTGCTCAGGTTCCTGCGTGCTCTGCTGTCGATATATGACTTTTTGGTCTTCTGAATATACGTATCTTTGGACAGATAGGAAGGCAGAATTACAGGGTTATCTCTTGACAGGAAATAGATGAAACTCTGGCCATTGAGAGAGAGAGTGAGGGCTATTACCAAACTCTATGAAAGAGTAGGGCCTGGAGACCGTAGGCACCTTCTTGCCATGTTGTTCGTGAAACTCTGCCTGCAGATCTTCCAGATAACCGAAGGCTAGCTTTTTAGGAAACACTGCCTCACAGAGAACCAGATAGCAAACGCCTTTCTCTATGACGTAGCTTTGAGAAGAGATGGGAAGAGACATATTTTATTAGGATTTAGCACATATTTTTGTGTGTAAATCTTGAAATCACCTACTTATTATGAAAAGGAAGGGAAAAGTTTGTGGTGTGCCAACTTATCTCTTCCTTTTTGCAACTCTTTGTGGTTGAGCAACCCTCATTGAGCTTTTTACGCATTGGATGTTTGCACTGTGCACTATGTGTTTAAACCTACCTATTATGAGCGACTATTTAATCAGCTTCAGTGTAGTTTTAAATATTGTACACTTACTGAAAAGCCATTGATCCAGCTTCTAAGGTGCATCGATTGGGACTCTGTTCATTTAGTTTGCGAAAGAGCTGTTTGGCCTGGCTTTGATATTGCTGGAGGTCTCGACCCATCTAAGAACAAAAGTGCAAATTTATTAGATAGCACACTTAATCTTACACTTATCCATGATTTGACTCAATCGTCTTCAGAGGGATTTCACAAATCTAAAGGTGAACAAACCTTTTCACTTCCCTTCATGGCAGCATGAAAGGAGGAAACGTAAAGATGTTAGACCTTAATCGAACGGCTGCTGTAAAGGTAATGAAACTGCTGGCCACCTATTAGACACATTAACACCATTTGGAACAACTCTACACATTTTTTTTTCATTATTTCTTCCAAATCTACCACAGCCCAAAACTTTGTCTTGTTCATCTAAACATCAACAACAAGGTAACTCCTTGCAAAGAGTTTTTACAAGGTACAAATTAGAAACAAAGGAAATAAGCTGATTTGCAGTTTATGTTTTTTATTTATTTATTTGTCAGCAAATAAATAAAAGATGATTTGCAGATGGACAATTATAGCAGTTCAGCTGAAGTTTTTTTTTTTTTACAGAAAAATAGAGCAATGAGCATTCTGAAAAATATAGACACTTTTGTGTTACATAGAAGAAAGGTATACCCTACAGGTTTGGAGCAGTTGAGTAAATGATGACAGAACTCAGTGAATTATCCTTTTAAATAGTCATTTTGAATCCTCATGGCATTGCCATCGTCATTAAATGAATAACTTACAGAACATTGAATTTTTGAGGAAATATTGTTAACTTATTTGCTTGTATTCTTAAATTATTTAGTTAAAAAATATGGAGCGTGAAAACAAACGGAGTAAACCAGTTGGGAGTTGAAATCAAGACAGAAGAGGGCGCTGTTACTCATCAAAAGCACTCAAATTATACGGTTACATCCAATGATTAATGCACCTTCTCTCTGTGACCAATTACAGCTTTCAAAATGAGAATAAACGACGAGGGAGACGAATATAATAGATACAGATTTACTGTTAGATTCCAAATAAAGTAGCTATTTAAATTAATGTAAACACTGCAACGACGGATTGCTGAAAGCTAATAACGGCCAGATTAAAAACTCTCTGCTGTTGTGGATTACAATCCCGGACAACTATACACTTTTAGAAGAAAACGCCATGTTTTCAGGGCATTGCTCTTTGATTTGTCACATCTACAGCACACATAGGCCAAGTGTACATGATATAATCTGATAAATCACTGAGCTCATACCTGCTCATCCTCCTGCATTGAAGCGGCCAGCGGCAATCCATCCGCCAGCCGCGCGATCATTGTCAGCAGCACCATTTTACTGTAATGTCAAATTTACACACAGCAGGTGTAAGTGGAGCGGTTAACAGCTGTGAAAAGATCTGTGTCTGGATTACAGCTTCACAACACTCCTCCGGAGTCCGTACACAACGCTGAGCTGGCCGGAAATACGTACGTTTTCGGCGTCACCGTATTATTGTCCCGCAGCGTTTTACCTTTTTAAACCACTATCTTTGGTTCCGCATATGATTCGGGATTATATGATTATATGTTGCTTTTGAATGACATAAATTAACGATTTAGATCTGAGATGTTATCTAATATTTTGCCTGGGTGTTCACCAGTCTACCCATGATATCCTATCTAACAAGAGTTGATAATTCAATTAAAATTTATTTGTGTAGCGCTTTTCACAATACATATTGTTTCAAAGCAGCTTTACAGCAAGTGCATTTCTGAAATGTACATGGAAAAATACATTTAGTTAATCATGTATTAATTTAGGGCATAACATATCGCAGGTGTTGGGGCATCTGACACAGGTTGCTTCAGTTAAAGGGGCAATGTGTAAAAAATCTGAGCATCTATTTACAGAAATGCAATATGACATCCATAACTATGTCTTCAGTGGTGTATAAAGAACTTACTTAATGAACCATATTGTTTTTATTACCTTAGAATGAGACATTTATCTACATAGCCGTGGGTATTGTGACGTCATGTTTATACCGTAGCCGACAGTGAACAAACAGCGCGTTTCGTCACTACCTTGAAAGAGAAGCCGCAGAAACCTAGAAGCAAACCATAAACACCTTCAGTAGTGACTTTTCCCTTGTCAGTGGTATAAAATATGTAGTTGGATTGTTTCATTTAACTTAGTTCTTCTCCCTCGCTGTGTTATGGCTTTGCTATGTGGGGATAAATGTGCTGGTGACGTTCATGAGATAGCTGATTAGGACTCTTGTCATTGACCGTAGGACAGTATGTTACAGGAATCACCAACCGGTCGATCTTGGAAGCATTTTAAGTCGATCGCGAAGAGTTTTCAACATCAGAGAAAAAAAAGCCTATTGTGTGTAGTAAATGGTGTCTAGGGGATGCAGAGGCGTGCGGCTGACTATGGCTTTGTGTGGTTTATAATGGACTGTAGAACAGAAACAGTGACAATGTTACACCCTTACTCTGTGTGGCTTACTCTGGCTATTCTCTGCTGTCTCAGATGATGACGATATATTTTTCCAGTTTTAGCCACCGTAGCGTCTTCGAAAGGAAGGGGTGAGCAGTGGCCTGAGCCATTAGTGCAAACTCGAATCCGAACCTCTAGATGTTACTAAAAATCACACACTGCACCTTTAAGTTAAGAAAGCTCAAAGATGCATTTTAGTGAGGGACGTTTACCTTTTCTGTTTAACCCGGGGTATATGTCCACTGTGGAATATGTATTTACACAAGTTTACATAAATATATTTACATTCGTTTCTGGAGATAAAATAGCTGAAATAAAAACAAATGCAATATTTGTGTGCTTACTGTGTTTCAGCCCCATAACATCACTGACATTTTAGCCTAACCTTAGATCTTGAACTTTCCATAGGCAATATTTAAAAATTGTGGCCCTTAATATTTCTGACTCTACCAAAGATCACATCAGTTGGCCATTACATGATAAATACACAAACAGATATCAAGAAACAGATTAATAAAGTGTTGTGATAAATCATAACCCAACAACTGCCACATCTGCCATGTGGAAGATATTAATGGATACATTTCCAAATATACCAAAGGGATGGGTACGTTAACTGGTAGAGAGGAAAAGGTATAAGCGGACTAAATTTGAGATATCATAAACATTACACAAGATGTGTATCTTGTAAAACAGTATAAAGTGTATCCACAATAATACGTGTCAGTCACTCACTAATTTGTATTCAGACAGCTTTTTCTAGAGGCAACGTGGTCATGACATGAATTTTAAATGTTTCTGTTGCACACTTTAGCTTCCTTTACTTGCATTCTCACCTGGAAAAAATTGTCTAGTGTTGTTGCTGCTGCAGCTGATAAATGTTCTGTGAAGTCAGCACTAAAACACTCATTAGGTGATGATAGCACATTGTCCTCATTCCTGAAATACTAGTGAAACATAACATACCACCCCTACAGTGTTTCCACAGGTACTTGAGACTTTCATACAGGTTTGGAACAACTCGATTGTGAGTAAACAATAGCCAGAACCATTAACAGAATTTTCTTTTGTGGGTGAACTATCCCTTTAAGCAGGTGTTCTTGCAAAAATCCTGTTGAACATCATCACTGCGTAAGAGACACTCAGAGTCAAATTAATAAAGAGAAAAGTATTTATTCGAGCAAGAATAGGCCCAGTTACCCTGTGGAGTGAGTGAGACACCCCCAGGAAGATTCGAGACAGCTTTTATACTCTTTTCAAGGTTCCTCTTCACCCGCTGTACCTTTCACCCACCCAGATAAGGTCCTTACTGCTGTTTAGTCTTAAAGACACAAACTGGTACTGAAATAAACTGGCCAAAACTGGCCATCCCTACAGTCAGAGGTCCTGTTCCATATGCTCCTGAAAGCATGTGCACAAGCACGTACACATGTATATTTTTACTCATTGAATAGGTTCAACAGAAACACATGGCTCAAAACACCTATAATCTTCACTACCGATCAATGTAAGATTAATATTTCCACAACACAGGTATTAGGGGGTCTTCAGTGCGTGAGGTAAATTGTAGGGCTCTCTAACAATAAAATGGAAATGCCAGAGAAAATATGTTAAGAACAATGTGTTAAAAAATAAAAAGCCACTGCTGATCAAACTCCTTAAACTAGAAATTTCAAATTAAAACAGGCAGATTTCAGGTCATTGAGGTTGAATTAGAACTTTGAATCATAGAATCAAGAATTTTGAATCATAATCTTTATTCAGTTAATTTCAAGATATAAAAATGTCCCTTTTTGTATGTGGAAATATACAAATCTGCAAACTTAAGAAACTTTTGTTTCATGCTAATGGTCCATTTACAATTACATCAGCACCAGCCAAAAGAGTGTAATTAATACAGTATTAAAGAATATGTAAAAAAAAAAAAATGTAGAAAAGAAAAAGATTTAGGCATACAAAATGCAGTATATCAATGGTGTAAAGAAATCAGTCTGAGGATTATTCTTAAATATTTTGAGTAATTCAAGTAGGTTCATTGTAATGCTATTAAATAAATATATGAAAGTAAATGTTTTTTTTACAGATTTAATATATGTGTTAATATTATAAAAAAAGGAAAATCAAGTCTAATGTACGAAATGTAAAAAGCATGCAAATATAAGATGCAGTACACCAAAAAACTGTAGTGTAAAGAACAGTTTAACAATACTAATCTTTTTTTTTTTTTTTTTGCAATTTCAAGTAGGTTCACTGATATTTCTACTTTTATTTTAATGTCTCTGAGAGAAATCCTTGATTTTTTGTGCTATAGCCTGGGCCTTTGAGATGGGGCATGGCAGCACCGGGAGTCGGGGAGGACCCAGCACTAACCCTGACACTTCACTCATCACCTGCTTATTCACACCCACATCAAAACCTGCAGAGCATACATGATGAAATAAAATTAAAAGTACCATTTACACAACAAAAGCAATGTCCTACTGAGACCTCACAGCTGTACTGGTAATAAAACATCATTCAAAAGTTTGGGTTCAATATAATTTTATATTTAAAGAAATTAAGAATCGTATTCAGCAAGGACTCATTAAACTGATCAAAAGTGACAGTCAAGGCATATATAATGTTGCAAAAGGTTTCCATTTCAAATAAACGCTTTTCTTCTGAACTTTCTATTCATAAAATAATCCTTAAAAAAGGTCTCACAGTTTACAAAAAATTATTAAGCAGCACAAGTGTTTTTAACATTGCTTAAAACAAAACAAAATTCAGTATATTACAAGGATCATGTGACACTGAAGACTTGAGTAATGGTTTACTCTATTTTTGATCCAATAAATGCTGCCTTGGTGAGCATAAGAAACCTCGGTAACACTTTACAATAAGGTTCATGAGTTAACATTAGTAAATGCATTAACTAACATGAACTAACGATGAGCAATGCATTAGTTACAGTGTTTATTAATCTTTGTTAATGTTAGTTAATACAAATACAGCTGTTCATTGTGCGTTCATGTTAGTTCGCAGTCCATTAACTAATGTAAACTAATACATCCGTTGATTTTAATAACGTATTAGTAAATGTTGGAATTAATATTAACTAAGATTAATAAATGCTGAAGAAGTATTGTTCACATATTGTACATGTTAACTAATGTAGTTAACTAATGAACCTTATTGTAAAGTGTTACCGAAACTTCCAACCCCAAACATTTGAAAGGTGCAAAACAGTCAACTCACCAAGGTTCATAGCAAATGTGATGACCTCCATAAATTCAAGCTGTAAACAGAAGGAAATTCATTAACCTGAATATTAATTCATTAACCTGAACACATTCTGATGAAGTAAAAAGCACTAAAGGAGAAATGCACATGGGATGATTGATGTACCTGCTGGGCTCTGGACTGCATGAGGTTGCCGTTATCAAAAGCAGAGAGCATCTGGTTCACTTTGAGTCCGAGGTAGTTATATGTGCTGGAAAGGATAGAGAGAGTGTTGCATGGTCTTCAGAAATGCATTATTTAGCTACTGTTTTTCAATCAAATCAGCCACAGGAGACACTGAATGGCACAATAGCTATGTTTCCATCCATCTAATTTTATGTGAATTTTGGGATATTTCAAAACATAAAGAGGTGCAAAAATTCTAAAAATGTACATTAAAAAATGTATGCACACGATAATTTATTTTTATCAGACAAGAAGACATGCACATAAACTATGATAGAAACGCATTTACCAAATAAATATCTCGCTGCGCAACAAAAACTCATCTGCCTCAACAGAGGATGTGACTGCACTAACCAGTGAACCAATGACATTACACAGCATCTCAAAAGTTGTCAAATGACAAAGTCTGTCATAAGAACGATTTGATATAATGACCTGCCAAAATTGCCTCACACGATTGCATTTTAAAGAAAGAAAGAAAAACCAACTGAGGCCAGAGAAAGAGTTGTAAGATGCAATGATGTTGGCACTCACCTTCCTACTGCTCCATGAACACCTAGTACCAAAGCTCCCAAGAGTTGCTGTGTAACAAAGTGTGTAAACATATAAAATCAAAACCGCAAGTTAGATAAATGTGAATCTAACAGGAAAAATACAGTAAAGGTAACTTCATACCTCATCTACTCCAAACAAGACAGACCAGTTATGGGACTGACAGTAACGGACACACTGCCCGAGATCCCTCAGGTCAGTCCCACTGTATTTCACTCCCTGAAAAGAGGGGATAATCTGCTCTATACCATTTAGCACATCAGCTGCCTCCACTGAAGAAAAAAATAAAGAGGAACCTCAAGAGAGACTGAACTACAGTATTCAAACTCATTCAAAAATGTAGTATTGTGCAATTCTAAAGAATTTCCTAAAGTTGGTAGTGTTTTGACTGCCAGTAATGGGGCTGCACTTACAGTCAACGCCGGTCATGGCTGGAATATGATAATAATACATTGGAACATCTGGAGCTGAGGTGCTCACTTCCTTTATAAACAACCTCAAGGCATCTGTGAAAAGAGGAAGGTCATTTCTTTTATGAAAATCATACAAAAGCACATTTGGTAAAACCTTTAACATAAGATTAATTAAGTAGAATTTAGAAAAAGGGGGGTGATACCTGCATTAATGGGTTTGAAAAAGGAAGGGGAGATTACTGCTATGCCGTCAACCCCTATACTGGCGGCATGCCGAGCCTGAAGGAAAGAAAAAACATGCACTCAGTATTTTCCACAGTCACGAGGAGGGGACTAGCTGTTTATCTGCACATGCTGTAACACGAATGGATAAACAGCGAATGGGAGAAAAATATGTATGAAATACTGCTGCTATAAAAAGGGAAGAGTGCATAAAAAAGTTGTATATGCATGAAAGATGTGAATAAAAGGGGTTGTGAAACAGTGTGCTCACCAGTTCTTGAGAGTCTTTTATACTCATGCAGCCAACATGAACAATCACTTGCTCAAGCCTGAACACACACATAAAGTATTTAACATCTGACAAGGGCAACTTCCATTAGAAAACTATTATGGAATACACCAGATGTGCATTAGGGTGTTTCCAAACTTATAAACAAAATTTGGCCTTGTGAACCTTTAAAAAAAAAAAATAAACCATCCACTAATAGTGTCCAACAGTGGACATACTTATTGCATCACTGGAGAACCATGTTATTTTTGCCATTTCCCCTGAATCATCTTTAAAGTGTCCACCACATGTAATTTAAATGCAAGCAACACCACACTCACAAAGTTGATTCAAAGGAAATACAAGCATTCTGTGTTGGAAATTATAATTTTGGGAAAAAAAATGGCCAAGTCATTTGTCTTGCTAATTTCATAGCTAGGAATGGATGTATCCTAAGCACACACAATTACATAAATGTTTACACTTTTCATATAATTTGACATTATTAATCATTTGAATCAGTTGAATCATTTTCAAACGGAGTATAATTTTTTTCTCCCATTTTTTGTTGATATTTTTATTTTCAAATTAAAATTCATATTTCAAATGTCTTATGATGGATTTGTCTATTTTAAAATGGTATGGGTCAGCTAAATCTATTCAAGAAATAATAAATGTGAGAAGCAGTAGAAAATAAACGACGAAGGCATAGTAAACAAAATGATTAATGTGCCCTTCGCAAGTTTTCTGTTGAAAGCATGTAAAAATTCAGTTACTTTTATAACCCCTGTGACATAGGCTAATAATTACCCATAGCTGAATAAACTCCAATAAACATGCTATAACTCACTTGCCCTTTCCCAGTTGGCACCAAGCTGCAGCAATCTGCTTCCTTTCTTCCACAGTAAGAGAACAGCCCTCGCCTGTTGTCCCGTTAACTACAAAAAACAAAGTGGTTTAGAATTAGATAATAACATAAATGACAAAACATTTTGCCTTATTCCCCAAAATTTTTGATTAAAGTAATAGATTTGACTTACCAAACACACTCTTGACATTCTGTTTTTCTATTAGGTAATCAATGTATGGTCCAATTACAGAGAGATTGATCTCCCTAAAAACAGCAAAAGTGGAATATCAATGACCACAGCCAGCCAGGTATATGATTGTGTAAAGCTTTTATTGAGGAATGAAGTATTTCACCCCTCTGCAGTAAGTGGCGTGAATGTAGCTGCCACGAGACCAGTGAGCTTTTTTACGCTTCGAGACATCTCTGCATGCACAACAACGAGAAAATGTCAATGTGTATTCAAAACGTCAAAGCCTACGGACCATTTCCATTGACACAACACGTCTTACGTGTAATGCAATCAGATTTTAAATGTAAATGGGTTCCTAAAGATCTCAAGTTCTATTCTTTACCGACCAAATACATTTGAATTCAGTCCAAAATTAAAAGACAGTCGCTTACCTTCCACTTTCGTTGGCTAAAAGCGTTCAACTCGGGCAGACGGACACTACTCATAGACAGTGGTTGTTGTACTAGTACTACGGTAGTTGTTAGTACATGACGTCACTGCACGAGGCAATCACGTTATGCATGCTTACGAGGAACTTGCATAGATGGGAACTTGAAGTTCCATTTTAATTTTATTTAGAGGACTTGTATGCATTATATTAATAAATGTGTTGTTATGAATTCTTTTTTTAAACAAACAATGATACGACATATATTTTATTGTGGGATTTTTACTATTGATATTTTCAATTTATTATATTTGTAATATATATATATATATATATATATATATATATATATATATATATATTTACAATTATATATAAATTAAATATATTTAATATACATAAAAATTTTGCTTGCAAGGCATGCTAGGAACTGTAGTTTCTGCACCACACCGTTTACGGGGCGTGTACGCTCGGCGCTACCCGGATGCGGATGTTGTCGTCTGCCTGTAAAACGGGTGATGATCTCCATTCACTCAGCGAATCTGAGAGGGACCTCTGGCCCTTTACATTACATCTGACATAAAATAACTCTTACGAGGAATATTTTTATTTGTCGGAATCTGGGAGCTGTATGGACCACCTTTGTCATTCGTGGATGATCGAAGAACAGATTTAAGATGTTCTTTCCGCTTGTTACACTTACAGCAGCATTTCTGCTACAACAACATATGCCCAGTGTCGAGCTGTCATCGACGGGTTAGCCGGCGAGCTAAACAACAAAGCGTGACGGGGGTTGAGAAAGCTTTTTTCATTAAATCATCTTGACAACAACATTTCGCTGGATATTTTATTTTTGAAAAACACCGTAGCATTTTCTACATGGGTTAAACTTGTTTTTAGTATCACGAAGATGGTATTGGAGACCCGCATACTATCCTAATTGCAATCAGTTCTAGTGGGATCAATACGTTGCGTCCTCTCCTTCTTGTAAACTGCTGATCGTGTCACCCATGGTGATGGTTGCTATTAGAGTCAAAGCATCTTTTTCCATGGCACCATCTGGAGCTCTTCTCGATCCTGTCTCTGCTGGGGATCTACAGTGATGTAATTTTGTTGTTGTTTTATAACCGATACTCAAGAGAGAGTAGCATGCCGTTGTGTCACATGAGTGCCAACAACGTGTTATCAAGGTGACAACAGCAGCTGACTGACCAACACTAATGAAAAGTGACTTGATCAGTGTTCCTTCCTTAGTCATTTTGTAATTGACTCTAAAAGCATCTCAGAAATGCACCACAGCTGCATTCATCCAAGAGAGACGTTTAGATAAGAACATGAACTGTAAAGTTATTGAGCTGGAACAGTGAAAGTATTCAAATTATGTGGGTGTTACTGAATCATATTTTTTACATTCAATTTGAAAATGATGGACCAGAAGTGGAACAATAACTTGGTGCTAAATAAACATATCTAAGGCAGGAAAGAGTTGCCTTGGGTGTCTTCATCTAGGTGAAGGTTGGAAGCAGTCCGTTGTGAAATCGGTGGATTGAGAGCCGTGCGGATGCTTCATTCTGCAACTATGTTGCCTGCTTTTTTGCTGCTGTTTTTTATGGGAACCTCCATCAGGTTATCAGAGACCATGGGCAGAGATGAGAGGAACAAACTGAGGTATGTGTCTATCTGAGGACATGTGCAAATTTGAAATGCTTTCCATATGAATGATTCAAAATGGTGTTTTTCTTAATTTAAGTAATGCTTTTCCTTCTCAGGAACCAAGTGGTGGAAATGTTTGACCACGCTTATCAGAACTACATGGTATGTACACAGTGAGTGACTAATAACTGTTCTTGTTGACAGCTGGGTACACATGGAAGTTTTAATCATACTTTTCCATCAGGATCCAAAGTTATGTGTGTAGTTTTTCTGTTAGTTTTTTTTAATGTTGAACGAAGTCTCATATGTTCACCAAGGCTTATGTTCACCTAAATAAATGTTTTCTATTGTAATGTATTTTAAAATATAATTCATTTCTTTCATCATCATTACTCAATGTCACATGATCCTTCAGAAATCATTCTAATATGCTGATTTCGGTCCTAAATAAATATTTCTTATTATTATCAAAGTTGAAAACGGTTAATATTTTTGTGGAAACATGATACTTTTATGGTAGGAAAGTAAAGCATAACAGCATTAATTTGAAATCTTTTGTAACATTATTAATGCTTTACTGTCATTATTGACCAATTTAATGCATCCTTGCTGAAAGTATACATTTCTTTTAAAAAAATGTGACTGCATTTCTGGTCACACTTTATTTTCATGTGCCGTTGTTACAGTATCATTAGACAAATAAGTTCTGAGTAATATTAATTATTAACATACTTATTATAGGTATAGTGTATTATTAAGATTTGGCTGTTGTTTATGCATAATTTACTGTTATTACATACTGTTCAGACGTGTAACTACGGCACATTGAAATAACATTTCTTTCAATAGAATCTTTTCTTTCTACATTAATTATCAGTAGTGTCCAGTGTTGTTTTGAACCCCACTGACTATCAGTGTGTGGACAAAAAACTGTTAAAACATTCTTCAAAATATGTTATTATATAGAAAAATTATATAGAAAGTTATATAGATTTGAAACAACATGAGGGTTATATAATGATGCCTGAGTTTTTATTTAATGATTATTCCTTTAAATTATCCCTTTAACATTGCTCATTTGCCAATAAACATTCCTGACAAAAAAAAAACAGGAGTGTTGCGATGATACGGGGAGACAGAGTAATGTTTGAGAGAATGGCATTATAATTAAAATCTGCCTTGTTTCATCTAATTTCATCTCTTTTCTTTTCATTCTGACAGGACCATGCCTACCCCGCAGATGAGCTGATGCCTTTGACTTGTCGTGGGCGAGTGCGTGGACTAGAGCCCAGTCGAGGGGATATAGATGATGCCCTGGGGAAGTAAGTCAGCCGTAGATGTGTTAACATTTCTCTCTATTCATTTATTTGAAACGAAATGTCGAAAACTGAGATGAAAACATGTTTTCCTGTTCCGTCAGGTTCTCACTCACCCTTATCGACACTCTTGACACTCTTGCAGTGAGTAACATCTCAAACAGAACTTGAAACCTCTTGCAAACACCTATATTTACAGTTAAGCCCAAAGTTGTTTGCTTATGTCCTGTTCTGACATCTCACAGCTGTTAAATAAGACGGTGGAGTTTGAGGAAGCAGTGAGGAGAGTATTGAAGGATGTACGGTTGGATAATGACATTGTGGTGTCTGTTTTCGAGACCAACATCCGGGTGCTGGGGTGAGTAAGACATCTCTGTCAAGAGGTTCAAAGTAAACTGACGTGGTAAAAGACTGCAATTAAAATCTGTTTAGTAAATTGTGTCTGTTTTGCTTGTGTAATACGTTGCTGTTCTTTTAGTGGACTGCTGGGGGGCCATTCCATGGCCATCATGTTGAAAGAAAGTGGGCAAATGCTCTGGTACCAGAATGAGCTGCTGCACATGGCCAAAGATCTTGGACTCAGACTGCTACCTGCATTTAACACCAGCAGTGGCCTGCCTTTCCCTAGAGTGAGTGAAAGCACGCATGAACATGCATTGCATATGCAATATGATTGATTAAAAGTCACCATGAAAGAATGTTGTACATTACAACTTTTTTTTGTTTTCTTTGTTTTGTTTGCAAGCATTTATCTTTATGCCTATACAGTACACACACACATTTTTGTTGATTCGGCTGTTCTGGGCATTGCATTGGTTTGTTGCATGTCTGCTGTAGGGAAATGAACTCGGTGACATCCCACAATGTTTTCACGTGTCATCAACAGCATGACTGCCCCTTTCACATTTGCTGTTAGTTTATTTTACAGACCTGTAAAATACCTGTAAAAATTGGTCCATCACAGTATTCAGCATTTTTTTATAATGACCGCTAAACGGAAATTTATTTAACTAAATGTATTTTAATCTCAACATTTACTAATGCATTTTTAAGAAAGATTGTTTGTTAACATTAGTTATTCATGCACTGAACTAACATGAACATGGCATTTGTTTTTAAACTAACATTAACAACGGTTAATAAATGCTGTGAAAATATATTGCTCAATGTTAGTTCATGTTGTTAAGCATTAGCTAATGAGCCCTTATTAACGTGTTCCCAATAACTCTTATTTAATAGTTAAGTAACATACTTTCATGTAATTCTGTCAACTTTAGTGTCCTCTTTAATGTTAATCCCCCATTATTGATTTGCAATAAATAATGCTTTTATTTGATAAAAAAATTATCAAAAGTGATCATTAAGACATTGCTGGTCTTTTGAACTTTTGGTTAATTAAAGTATCCAGAAAAAGCTGTTTCACAGGTTTCAAAAATATATTAAGCAGCGTTCTCAACATTGGTACTAAAATGAAACTGTATACTTGAGCACTAAATCAGCATATTATAATGATTTCTGAAGGATCATGTGACTCTGAAGGATCATGTGGAATATTGGCTATTGAAAATTCAGCTTTGCCATCACAGGAATAAATTACATTTTAGTATATATTAAAATAAAAAACATTTATTTTAAATGGTAATAATATTTAACAATATTACTGTATTTTTAATCAAATAAATGCCACCTTGGTGAGCAGAAGAGACTTCTTTCAAAAACACACACACACACAAAAAAATACCAGCCCCAAACTTTGAATCCCCTTGATTATGATAAATCCCCTTGATTCTGATTCTGATTAATGATTGGCTGCATTTACAGGTAAACCTGCGTCATGGAGTCCGTGGACCTGAGACCCGTACAGGCACCGAAACAGACACCTGCACCGCCTGTGCCGGGACAATCATCCTTGAATTTGCAGCCTTGAGCCGCTTTACTGGAGACCCTACATTTGAGGTAAAATATTACAATGGCTTCATGTTGCAAATTTGAACTAATGTCACTTTTGTTGAGCTTCTGAAGTTATAACTTTCGGAAATGTCTTTATTTAACCTCCAGAGAATTGTTTGGAAACATCGCGTTCTGTATAGTTAATATTAACCAAAGTATTTAAGGTCACCAAGCTAGTAGAAACACTGATT